GAGCTTCCTCTCCATATCCAAACTGAGCATAACCCACAATTAAACTACTCCACGAGACAACATCTGGATCCTCCATCCAGCCGAAGAGCTTTTGCGCACTTCCAATTGATCCGCACTTTGTATACATGTCAATTAATCCATTGCTGACAGTAACATCAAGCACAATCCCACTTTTTACAGTAAAGCAATGAATCTGATTCCCAACCTCTAGAGATGATATATTTGCACATGCTCCAATCAAATTACCCAAAGTAATATGATCAGGCGTAGTTTCAGAAATACGCATTAAATTTAGTAATCTGAAAACCTCCCCGGCCTGGTTGTGCTGCATGCACGCACTAATAATAGCATTCCAAGTAACTAAATCAGCGTCATTTCTTATATCTTCAAACACAAGAAATGCATCATAGAGATTTGAACACTTAGCATACATGGTTAGCAAACTGTTGCATACAATAACAGTAAAATCAAAGGCCCTCTTTATAATGTAGGAGTGGATCTGCTCACCCTGATAGAGTGTTGAAGGGCTTGTGCAAGCAGTTAGTATGGGGAGAACACTAACTTCGTCGGGGATCAGTCCCTTATGCCGCATCTGAGAAAAGAACGATAATGCTTCATTAGAATCTCCAGCATTCGAAAACCCGGATATAATTGCATTCCAGGACACTAAATCGGGCCTGTCTATCTGATAAAACACTGTTCTTGCAGATTCCAATTGCCCACATTTTGCATACATGTCACAAAGGGAGCATCCAGCAAAGATGTCTCTCCCCAAACCAAATTTTATGCACATCCCATGTATCTGCTTTCCATATTCAGGTTGAAGAAGGCCGCCACACGCACTGAAAGCACTCCCAAATATAAACTCGTTCGGCCGGTAAGCACCCTGAAAGAGCATGTCTTTGAAGTGATCCAAAGCTTCTTTTTCATAACCAAGCTGGGAAAACCCTGCAATCATCGAACCCCAAGAAATCAAATCCTTTGTCGGAACACGAGAAAAGACATCAAAAGCATCTGCAATCAGACCGAACTTCGCGTACATTGAAGTAAGGGCATTCTGTGCTATAGGGTGAGAACCAGTTTCTGATTTAACAACATGGGCATGCAGCTGTCTCCCCAGCAGTTCATTCGCAAACCTGAACAAGCTTTTAGGACACTTCCAAAGGTGAAGTGATCAGGAACACAACCTGCCCTCAGCATTTGGAAATACAATTCAATGGCTTTATCCTCTTGACTATTCTGAGAGTACCCAGAAATCAGTGAAGTCCAAGAAACAACATTTCTTTCAGGCATTGCATCGAAAACCTTGCGTGCTTCCGCGAACGACCCACATTTTCCATACATGTTGAGAACATGATTCTGAAAAACAATGTCCGGCTGGTAATTGGATGCCAAAATATGGCCATGGATTCTCCGGCCGTATTCGAGAGACCTCAAAGACGAGCAAGCATAAACCAAATTTGTGTAAGTGCTGGGAAATATTGGGAAGTTCGTTTGACCTTGTAAAAACTCAAATGCTTCAATGGCTTCTCTGTAAAGCTTTTGCTTGCACAAGGAGATTATGTAGTTGTTGCTAAACTGTTCGTTGTTGAATTTTGGTAAATGAGATGGAGATTGACTTGGTTGACTCTTATGGAATGTCAACGGTAGTGGGGATTTTAATCTTTTCATCGTGGTCAGAGGAGAGAGATTTCACCCGTTTGTTTTTGGCTTATGATGTTCGTTCTTCTCATCTGCCGCTCTTTTGTTTAAAAGAACAATGATTTTCGCACAGCACTCAAACTCAGGAAGGATTTTAGAATAAAGGAATTATTTCCATTCAAGTATGCCTTCTCATATGTTACATCATAATACTATTAGAGCAACTCCATCCGAAAAAACCAAGTTGGGCAAGAGTCTATTCAATCCACCCATATAAATAGCAGACTGTAATGAATAGTGATTGACAAAGTGTATCTCCACTCCTAAATTAATTAGCCTAGTCAATTCCTATTAAAATGTTATTAATTTTTGTTATAAAATAATAATTCTATTTTTAATTTCTGACATTTTCTTTATTTATAAAAAAATATTATTATTTTCTAACATTTTTTTTTAAGTTTTTTGGTTGAAAAACCTGAAAATCGAACGGTCCAAATTGTGCCACGTCATTAGCCATTAGGTTTGAATTTCAAAATTTTTTTACCCTTGGAAATCCAACCACCATGCATCCCCGCACCTAGTATCCTGTAGTGGGCATGTATGGCGGGCCCCCCCTCTGCGAGCTGTTGGCAATGCGCACCCACACGAGCATGTTTTCCAACGCGTCTAATGTGAAAAAAAAAAAGAAGGGAGTTTGCGTGGCTGACGTCAGCCAGACGTCAAATGGCCCGATTTCTTGCTTAATCCATTACGTGTTTGGCTCAAAGCTGGTCTCCACTTTGGCCAGCCTATTAGGTGGGGTGGAGTGGGTTTTTGGTGGGCTAGGCTGGAAAAGTCGACTTTGGGTCAGCTCATTTGGTAGAGGTGGACTTGCTCTTAAGTGATTCATCTTTGTCTAGTCTTATCATAATCTACTATGCTTCTACACGTTTCCATCTAATCTATCGTTAGGTCAGTATTGATACTTAAGCTCTTTCGAGTCATCATATCTTCTCCATGAATCTTGTTCATCCCAAAACAAAAGCTCATGTTCATGATGCCATGTGTCGTGCAGGTATACATTTTGGGCAATATTTACTCCGTAGATACGGGCAAGCTGTTTATCTGAGAATGAGGCACAAAATCCATTGTTCTGGATTATCATGGTGGTGATTATGTAAAACTATCAGGATTGGAAGAATGATATGGCTCCAGAATTCACTTCGCCGACATTGATGACTGTTGGGCAAGTAATTTGTTATCCGTCTTGTAAAATTTCAAAAAAAAAAAAAAAATGAAAAGAAAAGAGATTTACTACCCTTGCGTGACTTTCCGAAATGCCAAATTAGAGTTGAATTTCTTGTCAAGGCTTCAGCCTTTTCATGTTCGAGCTCCTCCTATACATACGGGTAAGTGTCATATGGTTGGGTTTCATATAAATATTTTTGGCCTCAAGTACAAAAGAAAGTGGATGGTGTTATAGGTGTGAGCGGAGGTTGCAAGGACTAAGAGAGATGAGATGTAGGAGGGAGGCTGAAAGAGATGAGGAGGCCAGGATTTTGGTGTTAGATTCATCATATATGGTCCTGTTCGATTTTTAGGTAGAAAAAATGGAGAACCAAATAATTTTAAGCTAAAATTGACCACTCCTAAATTGAGAAAACTAATGAAAATGGCCTCATCACAAAACTAATTTTTAATGAAAACTCTTGATGAACTTTTATTAATAATAATGATAATAGACGGTTGCAATATTGTCATTTTCTAAAGTTTTGCGGCACTGATGACTGGTTCTTAAGAAACAATTAGTTATGAATAAATACCTGTCATCAAATTTCAACTTGTTTATAAAACTGTCATTGTTCTAAACTTCAACTTATTTATGATGCTGTCATTACCTCCAAATTAATTTTAACTTATTTATGATATTGCAATCACCCGTTGTTTTTGGCCTTATTATTTAACAAAATTTAATTAAGTGCTTTTCACTAAAAATTAGTTTTGTGAAGCCCTTTTGAAGAAAGTTGACGTTCTACAACAAAATAAATTAGCAATATGGAGAGTAACCTAACTTACTCTTAATTGTTTGTACAAGGTATTCTCAACACCTTTTCATTAAAAATATTTAAATAAAAAATCAATTACATCTATGTGTAATATCCCACATCGTCTAGGGGAGTGGATCATGTAAGCCTTATATGTATATTCCTATATCTACCTAGCACGAGGCCTTTTGGGAGTTCACTGGCTTTGGGTTCCATCGGAACTTCGAAGTTAAGCAAGTTTGGGCAAGAGCATTCCCATGATGGGTGATCCACTGAGAAGTTCTCGAGTGAGTTCCCAGAAACAAAACCGTAAGGGTGTGGTAGGGGCCCAAAGCAGACAATATCGTGCTACAGTAGAGTCAAACCCGAAATGTGATAGGGACCCAGATCGGAATGTGACATATGCCTTCTGAAATTTAATTTAAATCTCACTCAGAAAAACATTCACTCTTTCAAATTTTAAATATATCTTCCGAAAGTTTATTAACCACAAAAAATAAAAAAATAAAAAAAATAAAAAAATTCCAGTTTGAAGCCTTTTCAATGGTAGTCAATGTGTAGTGACATCAATGTTTGTTGCCTTGGATCAAAATATAAGGAATGAGATGATGTGTCAGTTTAATGGCTACTTCAAGTATCAGGAACGGGGTACGTGGTAGAATTTTCATATCTAATCTTAAGCTTAATCAGAGGCCCTTGAGCAATTGAGTTTTGCTTTCATTCAACAATCATCAGCTTTACATATGATTTTTGAACATTATGGTGAAACTCAAAATTCTTACGACTCATAACATCACGTTTATTTTGGCTGTTATGTGTGTACAATATGTTCTTGTTAATCTTGCGGAAGAAACACTTGTATAGAATGAATTACAGTTTTATTGTAGTGTCTCATGCTAATGAAACAAACATGTGTAAATTGTTGTTCATATATCTTTATTTCATTAACAGAATGCTAAAGTACGTAGTAGTGTGCCTTCGTGTTGATGATCATCAAATAGAATAAAGTAGGATGAAAATAACACAATTACGTTAGAGATACTTGTGGATGCAAATTTTGTACATGGCTAATTTGAAGAAATTCTACTTATAAGAGAACAAACACCATTAGCCTAATTGACAAACGCCATTAAAAAAGGGAGGGTGTCTGCCAACAATCTTCCAATGCCTAAGTCAAAAAAGTAGTAGAATACACGACAATCTCTGCAATCCTGCCATCTAGCAGTTCTGAATATCCCTGTTGGTAAAAGTGCAATTTCCAGATATCTAAGAAAAGACTGTGGAGAGTTAGTGAACCTATAATATATGTCATGGGCAGCTCGTAGAGCCCATGGCCCGCACCATGGGTGGCCCGGAAACTCCATGGTGCATTAGTGGCATAAAAGCCCAAATACCTTAGGCCAGACTATGTCCTTTTCCCTTAGGTCATTATGTGGTCTACTCCTGACGTCAAGGTAAAAACCGTCGTAGTGAGCATATTGTCTGTGCGTCCTCCTCCTATTTGAAGTGATTAATTTATGTCTTCACAATACGTACACAAATAAAACCGATTACCATCTTTAATTAAACAGTGGAGATAACTTACCCACTAATTCTATCTTTAAGTAAAATTTAAACATGTTCTATTTGAGTGTATTTATCCTTAATTAAATAGCTTGGGGACTCTGAAAATTCTTGCCCTTTGATCCCCTTTCATGTTCTCTGTTCTTTTTTTTTTTTTTTTTTGGTTCCTTTCTTTATATATAATTTGGTTGACTCCAAATTACAAAACAAACCCTAGCAATCGGTTGAATTTTGACGCCAATTAGTTGATGGGTTTCTATCCCAACAACAATTTGGTGCAAAGACAGCAACTAAAGTTTCCGATTTCTTTCCAACTCGTTTTTACTTGAAGCAACAACCTAAAAAAGCAAATTCCTCACCTAAAGAAACACCTCAAAGCAAAAGCAAATGCGCTTTTGAGTTTGCCAGTACCAATCATAACCAAGTTAGCTAGCTCCTTCTCTTTTTTTATAAGAAATTTACTCCTTTTGTTCGTAAAAACAAAACTGATATAAAATTTTACACATAAATTCCGACATCATATATTATACTGACCAAAACCCACCGAAACTCAGTAACCCTAATACCAAATTTAATAGCTTTTTCAAAGAAATGGGGACCACAGAAAGAACAAAGAAGAGGGCTCAATTATGGAAGAAAGCAGCGGTCCATTTTGCTATGTGTTTTGTTATAGGGTTCTTCTCAGGCTTTGCTCCAACGGGTAAGGCTTCATTTTCCGCTAGAACCGCTGCCGCGGTTTCCTCCAATAAACCACAGCACTTTCCGTTGCAGTCAGTAGAACCACCGCAAGAAGTACCGGATGCTATTAATAGAAGTTTGATAGCTACAGAGGCACAGAATGTGTCAATGGCGGCAGCAGCAGAACCTGCAAGGCATAAAAAGTACTCCGAAAACACGAGGTTCATGTCACAACATGAAGAAGTGGAAGAAGAGAAAGAACCCGAGGTGATGACACCGAGAAGGTTCATAATCATAGTCACTGCAACAGCAACAAGCACGAAAGACATTAAGTTTAAAAGTGTGTTTTTGAGAAGACTGGCCAATACTTTAAGGTTGGTTCCTCAGCCGTTGCTTTGGGTTGTGGTAGCGCCGAAAACGGAGACGAATGAAGTGTCGGAATTGCTGAGGGGAACGGGGATTATGTACAGGCATTTGGTTTCGAGAAAGAATTTCACAGACGCAGAAGCTGAAAGGGATCGCCAGAGGAACATTGCTCTTAAGCACATTGAGAAGCACAGGATTAGTGGGATTGTTCACTTTGCCGGGCTTTCTAATGTTTACGATCTTGGCTTCTTCGACCAGCTCAGAGAAATTGAGTACGTCAATGTTCCTTAATTCCTTATTTTTCTCATTCGATTAAAAAATTTTACTTCGAACATTATGTTGTATTATTAATTTTGCCTAGTATTATGTTGTTAGAAATGGATCTTGATATCTTGAAAATTTCAAACATTTTCTTTCTTTCTTTGAACGCAAGAACTTATGGTTCTTTATCTGAAGGGATGGAGGTTTCGAAGTTCGAGTAGTGTCCAAGAAACTTGTGATTGCCGGAAGGGGAAAAGAAGAAGTGTCCCTTATTAGGACTAAAAAGGTTGTGATTAGTGAATTTTGTTGAACTTATATTCTAGGGTGGTACTATCAACACACTCTTATAAATTTTTGGTCATCGGAGCAAATGAATTGAAGATGATCAAAGAACATAAATTAATAAAGGTGTGTAAAAGGTTAAAAAAAAAAAAAAAAATGTGTGGATAGCACCACCCATATTCTAATGTGCATGTGTCTAGTTTCTCACTATTCTTATTCCTAATTCTAAGGTTTGAAACCAACCATAGATCTCGCAGTGGGATATACGTGCATCAATAATTGATACATGTTTACGTGTGTGGTGTGACTATTATATAAGTATAGTTTTTCATTCGAAATTTCTGAATAAAAACCACTACATATAATTTACTATTGATTTTTATATTACTATACATAAATGGATACATTCTTGTAATATCTAAACAGAAATCTATTGAAGAAGAATCTTCTGTAAAGTAGTATTTGTTTCTACTGCTTTTTGTGTGTGTTATTAATTAAACATGCATGTTTCAATTGTATATTAATTTGCAGGGTTTTTGGGACATGGCCAATGGCACTACTTGAAGCAAACAGAAAGAAGGTGATCATTGAAGGACCTGTATGTGATTCTTCACAAGTCATAGGATGGCATTTGAAGCAAATGAACAATGAAACTGAGACTAGGCCTCCTATTCATATCTCAAGTTTTGCTTTCAATAGTTCAATTCTTTGGGACCCCGAGAGGTGGGGGCGCACTTCATCTCTTCAAAGCTCCTATCAGGTACATAAATTTTCTCCTATCATATAGTGTGACGTCAATGTTTAAGTTATGACTGCTGAATATGTAGAATCATGTTTGTAAGGGTAACGTCTTGATTCAAATCTAATAAAAATAAAACCATGCCCGAAATTACAAAGATAATAAGATTATTGAATTGATACGATATCAAAACTAATCATATCTATATTTAGGTAACTCTCTCTCAATTTTTATTTGAATTATAAAAGCATGTGGATGCTTGTTTGCCTTTTGAATATATGTTTATTAGTGACATCTATACATTAGTACAGACAAACGCAGGCGTTTAAAGATATGTTTATATATTTCTTGAGTTTAACAATTGCTGTTTTGGCAACAGACGATCAAATTTGTAAAGCAAGTGGTTCTTGAAGACGAAACAAAACTGAAAGGAATCCCCCCAGAAGACTGCTCCAAGATCATGCTTTGGTGTCTTCGTTTTCATGCCGCAGGACCATACCAAATCAATCAACCAACAAACGGAAATTAATTCCATCGGCGGCAAACCAAAAAGACAAATTACTATATCTTTTTTTTTTTCCTTTTATCATGTAATTCTTTGTAATTTTATTAGTTTTTTTTTTTGTCTTTTTTTATATTTTTTGGAGTAGATTTACACCGACAGTATACTTAAGTTAGTGGCTTAAATCATCATATCATACGAATTACCTTTCTCCCATTTTATAGCAACTTTCCCAACTTACAATAAAATAGGGTTGTTGCACTTATTTTTTTATTTTTTTTTATTTTTACGTGTTTATATTTATACTACCAAAACCATATTGTTTGAGTTTGATAAACAACATTTATAATTGCACGAGGTCTTTCATTGAGTAATCTTAATTACAATCAAGTAGATAAAGAGACGTGAGTAGACCCAAAGTATACTGTATATTGGGAAAAAAAAAACATAATTGTGGACTCACTTATATCGTCCATAAATAAGTCGAGCCAAATCATATATCAATATTTAAGATTGGCTTGTTTAATATTTTTTGAGATCAAATTAGGCTTGGTTTACTTTCTATACGAGTCGACCTTCAACGAGTTGAGCTCCATTAAGCTAAAAAAAAAATTCAAGCTGAATACCTAGCTCAAGCTTTTTACTATTAATAACAAAACTTCGAACTTAGCGGTACATTTTCACACTATAATACACACTTTACGGTAGTCTTATAACATGTCATCTTCGTTTTTGATTTTCTGAACCTAGTGGGAGGCGGAGCGATCACATTTGTAATTTATGTAGGGCGTCCAGTATATGAGCTAGGCAATATCTCTTTTTATCCTACATTATTGGCATCATTAGCTCCCCTTGAAAGTGTATCATATATACTTTTATAAACCTCACTTCTCAATTTTTTTTTTATTTTTTTTTTTATCTTTTTTCTAATGTAATCCAATTGATCTTCTCAAAGTGTTGCACAATAATCTACCAAAAATTGTTGGAACAACCTTCCTCCTAGCAATGTGTCTAACCTATGAAGGCTCTCATAAGTACTTTTCCTCTTATATATTCATAACCTTTAGAATCATTGTTCCATTTTAAATTAGATTTGTAACATCTAGACTCTCCAACTCTCTCATCCTCTTCGTAGAAGCAAGCAGCTCCATCTCTTTTTCATGAATCCGACTTTGATTCTTCCATCTGGAATAGAGTCGAACGAGCTCACCTTCGATTTCCAACCTTTGCTTTGAACTTAGATATGCCCAAGGCGAGCCTCCAGCACTCAAACTCAAGACTACTTAGCCAAGAGGGCATTGCAATGCGATCTTGTTTGGCAGTAAGGGAGGAATTATTTTTCTCAAGCTTAGCGATAGTTTGTTTCAACTCCCGAATCTTGCTTCGTAGTTCCTCATTTTTTGCTTTAGTGAACAGATTTCCCTACAAATTTAAGACAAGCCAAGGCACTTTGATTCTAGGAATTTTCACAGGAAAGTTGTCAGACACACACTCTTACCAAGTAACGGCCCATGTAGCCCAAGAAAGGTAGGTCCTCTAATCCCTTGCTAAAGCTAGATCTCCAGGAAGGTAGGCTACCTTAATCACTGTAAAGGCAATGTGAAGTTGTCCAGCCCACTCGCGTCCACTGCCAACACGTTTTTTTTTCCAAAAATGGGCTCAAGACCAAATTCGGAGCCTTTTCAAGTGTAGCGTGACAACAATGAACTTCGTCGTTAGGCATGTTGGCGGGGCACAAAGTGGATACCTCCAGAATACTCTGTGCTATATTCACAAATTTGGGATTCTCTGGTTGGTTCCTCATTTCGTTCGCCCTCTTCGACCACTTATATCCCCTTATGCTCTAACGGAGTGGCATCATCTTTAACCATTTTGCCGATGCCACCCTCAACACTATCCACAACATCTTTCTTAGCAACATCTACATCAACATCAACACTCTTAGCATCATTTAGAACATCTTTAACATTACCCTCGGTTGTATCTCTAGAAGTATCTTTAGCAGCTTCTGCGAAGTCCTCCACATCCAAATTTTTTTTGTGAAGGTGGAGTGGAACCACGCTGAAGTCCCTTCATCTCCTCTACAAATAGCTTCTTAGCCTCGAGCTCAACTTCCGCAGTCACTACTCAACTAGCCCTTCAATGACGAATCTTCTTCTTGATGATGGGTCTTTCCTTCTCTGTAGGCTCATCCTGAGCCTTGACGTCATTAGTTGTAGAAACCACTTGCTCAAGTCTTTCAACATGCTTAATTGACTTTAACTTCATTGATATCTCAAAAACATTAGCAACTTTGAAAATTTCCACCATCTTCAATATGGCCTTCTTCTTCTCCACCCTATAATTTACTGGCACAGACTCAAGGTTTTCCTTTTGCCTGTCTTGGGCTCAAAAGGTTTTATTTTTGTCACTCGAGAGTAGTCCCTGATCATCTCCAACACTTCTACCTCAGAATACTTCTTAGTCACCTCCACCAAATCGCCGAGCCTATCCCTATGAGGGTGGACCATACATTGCCACTCATTGTGCACCTTTGGATCACTAAATATGCCTTATCAATAAGGTGACGGCCAAATGACTCTAACTTTATCTACCGAATCTTGAGTGGTTACTGACTTAGTCAGGGTCAACTTGACTCGATGGCCAGGGATATCTCTTTCCCATGCCCTAAAAACCACCAAGATATTCAAATCATAAGGCTTGTCCTTAGTGGGAAAATTCTTGACCCAATAACGATTCCATTTACCCACAGTACAACTCTGGAAGAAATACCTAAAGCTCGCAGGGATCGGCTTAAGGAAGTACAAAGCTGGAAATTATAAAAGTCCTATGCTAGTTTTCCAAAATTGATTTGAGTCTCTCAAACCCACTCAGGACCTTATATGCAATTGGCATAGGATTAAAGAGGCAAGGTTGTAGTGAATCAAAACCTTATTCACAAACCCGCTTATTAGGAACTTCAACCTAAGGCTCAAGTACCATTGGTGAATCCTAATGTAAGATTGCTCCGAAATTTCTGATTTTGGCAATTTGTCATAAATACTAGAGCCTTAACGCTCTAATCGAATGCTTCAACCACCCAGAACTTCCTTGTGTGCCTCCATGAACCTTTGAAGTGCCGCTTCATCCCCCATTATATGTGTCATGAGAGCGATTCACTTATAGTTGCTTGAGACGATGACAGTTTTGGGTGGAGATTTGGAAATAGTCAAGGCTTTGGAGTTTAGAGATTCAATCGAATCTGATTAAGGGTAGAAAAATTTGGATGAATGAAGAAAAATTTTGGGAATTTTAGGAAGCAAATCGAGAAAGAAAAAATGACAAAAGTTCTAGTTAGAGATTGAGAGCAGAAAGAGAAAGAGAAAAAGAAAGAAAGGAAAGGGCTTTTATGTGTGATTTCAAAAAAGACTTGTTCATAAGCCAAGTATCGTTTGAGGAACAAAGATCGTGGGGCACATGTCATTTTCCAAACCACAATTGATGGATTGGATTGGGTGCACGCTCCACTACTTCAAGCAAACATGTTACCAAGACTAATCATGGTGAGCACATGAAATAAAGCGACCTAACAAACTATTGGAAATGATGGCTATCGAGTCTGTGCATGCCTCAATATTGATGTCAAGCATAACTATTGACTCCACTTGTCTAGGTCGCTTAATAGTCGCCTCAACCATTCTTGTTTACAACACCAAGTGTTTTTCACTGCGAATTAACGCCCAGACAGCATCTCTTAGAGCCATCACGACATGTACTCTACGCCAAGCACTTAATGTCAAAATGAAAATTCTTCAACTATCACTAGGTCATATAGGGTAGGAACAATATCCCCTGAATAACCCAACCAGCCTCAATAATGCTAACTTCACTCCGGACTAGATAATGTGATCTTCTCTAACTACACATCTAAGGTATTCTGAAGACATAGTTAGGGCAAATGTGAGATCATATTTTCTACCTCTCCGGAACATTGAATACGCCAACTAATTCCGTCGATCCGTTCCAGAGTGAGTAAGGTACTCTATATGTCACAATGATGACATATCAACACTTGCGAGAAAGATGAGGCACTCATCTAATCCTGATAATTTCGTGAAGCAAAGCACCGAGGCGCCAGAAGATGGAGTACTGGCTTCCATGTGTCCAAGTTTGATTCTAGCAGAGATAACCATAAAATTGGATCTAAAATAGCTTGCTGAGCTTAAGGAGACTTCTAATGGTCTTAAGTTGTCTATGTGTTCAGCCATGCATGTAATACTCTGAAAATTTAAATATATGAAATAGAATATTCATAATTATGAATATGTGGAGAAAATTGAAAATAAATCGATTTATGGTTATGAAAATTTAATTGAGGAATTATAAAATTTTGTTACTAAAATTATTATAATTTACGTATTTGTATTGGTGAGATTTATATTAATTTATTTGAATTGAGTTTTAAATTAAACTTGCAATACCCTGGAAAATTTAAATATATGAATTGGATATTCATAATTATGAATACGTGGAGAAAATCGAAAATAAATCGATTTACTGTTATGAAGATGGAATTGGGAAATCATTATAATTCACGTAATTGTATTATTGAGATTTCATGTTACTTTTCAAGAAATTATATTAATATATTTGAGATCAGTTTTAAATTAAACTGGTTACGAAGTTTGGAGTTTGTAAGTTAATTATTTAAAGTCCGTAGACCATTCAAGGTCACAATTTATATATTTGAATAGAGCTCGATCTCATGAACGAGTAGTTGCAAACCGTTCGTGAAATGAAATTATAACGAAAGAGTTATTAACGTTTAAAGTTAGGGACATTTTTATAATTATGCCCTCATTTAGAAGAATCCAAATTTTCTAGAACAAAAGCTTTGCCACGTGTGTGGTTGAGATGAAAATGAATAAAGAAATGGATGGCTGTGATGGAAAAGAAAGGGGAGAAAAGGGAGGGACACAGATGAATCAAGGGGAGAAAAAGGAAGGAAAGTAGGGAAGAAGGTATTGTAGTAAGAAACTTAGAGGGTTGCTATGAGTGTTTGCCATATGGAGGTTCTTATTAAATCGGTAGCCCATGTCGTCCCTGCCTAACCAATGAATGTTTTCCTCTTTCCGGACTCTATATGCAATGATATTAATGCCGCTATTGCAAGGTTCTGGTGGGGTCAAAAAGAGGGGGAGTGGTGGATTCATTGGGTTAGCTGGGAAACTATGGGTAACGCTAAGATTGATAGAGGTTTAGGCTTTCGAAATTTGAAAGAATTTAACCTGGCCCTTCTTGGCAAACAGTGTTGGCGTCTAATCCATGAGTCTAATTCTCTTTGGGCTAGAGTTATTAAGGGCTGGTACTTTCCTAATGGGTCTTTTGGGGAGGCCAAGAGAGGTGGGAGGGCTTCATAGGCCTGGTCAAGTATCATTGCAGGCTGGGACTTGTTGCTCCAAAGTTCTTATTGGCAAATTATGGTCGAGGCACAAACTAAGGTGTGGGTGGATAAATGGATTCCTACCTTACCAACGGGGCACCTCACTCCTTTGTTGGGGACTTTAACAGATGACACACTTGTTGTTTCTTCAATTGTTGGGGACTTCAGCAACC